CCCGCCAGCCATGCCAGCACCCGGAGCAGAGACCGTACACCAATAAATTCACAGTGTAACCGTCCCTCCACGTGTCGTTGGCTAATTGATAATGAGATTATGTTCTGGGACACAACTGCCCGGAGGAGCACCAGGCTGGCACAGGGTTTTCGCCAGCCTCAAGGCCGGATGATGGGCTGGTCCCACGCGTGCAGCCCCCTGCTCCAAGTGCTCTGCAAAGGGGCTCGGTCAGGAGCCGTCCTTCAGCCTGCAATTAGGCACTGCAAAAGTTAATCAGCTTCAGCAACAGCCAGAGAGTCAGATCTGCCCCTCCTGGCTGCGATCGACCCCTCCACGGGAAGGGACGGTGCCGCCGCTCGGCCGGCGCCCGCCCAAAGGCGATGCCCAGCTCCGAGAGCGGGACGGCGTCTCTGCCGTAAGAAGGTGCCACGACACGCCGGGGGATGCCGAAGGCCAGGCCTCAGCGGCAGGTTGCAGAAGTGTTTGCTCAGTGCCACTTTCAAACGAGTCTATCAGCCTTCCATTTAGCAGAGACTCTAAATACTCGTTTCAGCTAATAAAGATACCCGGTAATGTCGTATGACAAGGCTGGCAAGCTCCCAGCAAATACGATGGTGAGCCTTTGTTTAATTCGGGGTCTCTCAGGCAGTCACAGCTTAGTCCTCGTAACGGGAGAAATCAGCCGGGTTTAAAAGCTGGAGCCCGAGGAGCACCCTGCGGCAGCCCGGGCATTTGGGAGCCCATTTCCCAGGGCAAAAGGGCAGTTTGCTGCTGCACGAGCTTTTGCACCCAATTTGATTTTTTTCTTTTTGTTTTTTTAATTTTCTCATTCCTACTCACCACTTTTTGCATCCCCTCCCTGCTCCGGGCGCGGGTAGGTCTGGCCGGGCGTACGGGCAGGAGCTGGGGCTGACGGAGCTGCTCTGTGCGTCCTCCCGCCTGCCCCTTGCCTCTGACACGGCAGAAGCACAAGCGGGATCCCTCTCAACGGCCTCCCCGGTTCTGCAGATTTCGGGTGGACGCCGCGGCACAGCCCTGCGCTTCGGGGCAGCGGGCAGCTCGCTGCCGGCCCGGCTGCTGCCCAC